GGAGGATTGGAATGCCGCTGACCACGTTTCCTAACAACAAAAACAACCAACACTCTGTTCAGTCATTTTAGACGGACTCTCTGTCCTTGTGATCACCAGCCTGTCTCTCTCTCTCTCTCTGTGTCTCTCTGTCTCTCTGTCTCTCTGTACATCTGTGCCATTTTAGTCCTTCTGTCTGTCTGCTTTATCTGTCTGGCTGGAGCTTTGCCCAACTGCCTTTGCTTTTATCTGTCTGTCTGCATGTTACATCTGTAGAAACCTGGAAAAACCTCACCGACAAGCCTCAAAGTTTAGATTTTTACTGTTCCTAGTGAACTGAAGCTGATGTGATGTTGTTGATGAAATTTAAGTTTAACTATATAATAATCTTTTTAGGCAAAATTTCCATCCATTGTTTTTGTTTACAGGTTGCGCTGTACTGTGAAACCGGTGATCTGGCGATACTGGACCAGGGATTGAGCAGTGCAATGATCAGTGTAATGCTAATCCATTTATTACAGATTAGATGTTGTGTTGAAGATGAAGACAGGCAGGAAGGCAACAGTGGTCACAAATACAGAAATTAATCCACAGAAAAATGAAATCATCGCGACAGAAGGAGCGAAGGAAGGAACTGAATGAGAAAGACTGAAAGAAAGGAAAGAAATGCAGAGAAAGTTGCGTGATAACCAGAGTGAAACAGAAGCTAATCTATCAGGGATTAACATGTTAGAATGCTACCAGCTGAGCGCTACGTCACCCACCCACCCGCGCACACCCACACCCACAGTGTAATCCCACACTATCCTCGTAGTGACCTAGTATCATCACACTTGAACCACATATGCACTCACACGGCAGCTTCAGTGCAGCGCTGCGCACAAACACAGTTGGGATACTGAAACTGCAGCTCCTGGAGCCCAACACAAAGCAAAGACTCATACAAAAGCTGCTCTGCTTTCTTTTCCTCTCACTCCGTCACTCTTGTCCTTTACATCCCTATTGTTTGGCCTTTCTTTTCTCTTCCGCTTTTGTCTGAATACCCCTCACATCTTTCAGAATTCCCCTGAATGGACATTCCTCAGGGAGCAAGGTGTGTGAGCCTTGTTATATATGCACTTTCTTGTGTGTGTTGAAGCCTCTGTGAGAGTGTGTGTCTTTGTCTGTCCTGTAAACTAACAATAAGAGCTTTGACACGCACACTTTCTCTCTGTCACACACACACACACATACACATGCACACACATGGACACACAAACAGAAATGGCCTCCAGCAGATGGGCAGAGTTGCACTGCTGGTTCCTCAGGGCTTATATTAGGACGATCACTGGACTTCTTCTAGTAGGATTGTACTCTTTAATTACAGTATGCTGTAGTTTGTAGCTTTAATTTTTAATTTACTCTGATTAATTTTTCTCCAAAGATACAATGAATCAAAGCTTGAAGCTGGGATTTGAACCTCTGCGTGGAGCAGACAGAACACGAGCGAGACACCACAATGCACCAAAGCATCGCTGTGGTGACAACATTCGGATTCCAGCTCTGCTCAATCACGGGGAACCTTTATCACTGAAGGTAACTGAATTATGACAGGAAAATGGAAAGATGCATGTAGAAAAAGTTGACAAAGATGTTTTGAAAATGATTGAGTGAAGAAGCAGTTGACCAAGTGTGTAGGTGAACCAGAACCAGAGCTTCTAAATACTGTATAATGTCTTTCAACTCAATGAGATCCAAGATAATTGTAGACAGTAAGTTTGCTGTGCTACTTTGTGCTTGTGATTTACTCGCTGTCACATGTCTGAACCTGTAGCAGAATGGCTAACTGGCCTCAAGGTTGGATAACTAACATAGCAAGAGACTACCCAGGGTTGCCCAAAGCCTCAGCTTCCTCCACATGATCTGGGTCTCCATAACTTGAAGGATGACATCACACAGGGGGTTAAGGCAGAAGCTGAAGAGAAAGTCAAGGATAAAAAATAGGTTAAGATCAGAAGGTTATAAAGACGGACGACATGCAGTAAAAATTTTAAAATGGATTAAAGGGCAGAGAGTGATAAAAGAGAAATAAAAGAGAACTTTATTTGAAGGCGACTCTATAAAAATGGGTTTAAGAAGTGATTTAAAAGAAGCTACTGATTCAGCGAGTCTTATCTCCTCAGGTAGGTCGATCCAAAAGAATGAATCACTACTGAAATTTTAAAGCAATGTTGTCAAAAATGCTTTTCATTACACAAATAACCTCCTGATATTATCATCATGTGGAGTTCTGATTGGCTATAAGCTGCCTGGAAAAAAAAAAAAAGAATGACATGTTTACTGTGGGGGTCAGTAGGAGCCCAACAGCAAACTTTTGCACCTCGTGGTCTCCAGGGAGTTTAATCCTACCATGGATGGTATGGACCGATCTGCAGCGTAAACTGTTGGTTTGATGCTGCAGGCAGCAGAGCTCGGTGGTCGTTTTCCTGTGACGTTTAAATTGAGAGACTTTCTAACAGGTGGTTAGTTGTCCTAAGAGCAACAACTGCAGATTGAATAAATTTTTTCATCGCAGATATTTTGACTTCTGCACCTCTTGTTTGATTTTTCTTCATTCTCACAAACAGATGCTGTTCAGAAGTCAGTTGTATGTTTGATGTGATGTGTTGCTAGATCGAGTTCAAATCTATCTGAGAATATTTCACAATAAAGCAACATGCAAAGGGTTTATAATATTAGTATGATGACTTTAAACATTAGAATTTGCCTTCAGCTCAGGATCCATGAGGGAAACTATATCAACAGATTTATTCTTATCATGGTAAACTCTTCACTCCACTGCTCAGCTATCTCATGTAGACAAGAGGCCCAGCAGACCTGCTTCAATGCAGTGTGTGTGTTGTTTAAGCAGCACAAATCTCACTGCTGCTGGCTTTAGGAGTGAACAAGCCTGGACAGGTTGGCAGGTATGGTGTCAAAGGGTACTCTGTGAAAGGAGAAAGTCAAAAGCAGTACAGACTGATGCCTGCAATAATATTTTTTGTATATTCAGTGCATTGGAAGCGGCACGTATTGAAGTTCAAGCAGTGCTGTTTTAATAGTTGACACAATGCTCTTTAAATGTTAAAATTAGCACCCCATTTGATGAGAGTATGATGAACCCTTAGGGCAGTTAAGCCACACTTCTGCCCTTTTTTCTTTTTTAGAAGGTTTTAAGGTGGAATTAACTCCACAGCCCACTTAGTGAGTGCATAAAGGATTACAGTTCCTCTGTGTCTGTTGTTGTTCTGGAGAGGGTGCAGCGAACAGACAGCTGTTGTTGCTGTGACGGTGATGTAACGTCTGTCTGAGTGTCTCTGTGAAGCTGGAGAAAGTGGCCATCCGACGGGCTGACTGCCGGGATGATTGGATGAGGAGCTTTCCTTAAATTATGGAGAAGCAGGTGTACTGAACAATACGTGCGGCAGGTGTGTGTTCTCCTGGATGGTTAATCAGCATTTTTGAGGCTGCATGGAAGGCATGTACAAACGAGCAGAAGCATCACATTACACTTATCTATATTGTAAACAACCAATTTGTATTTTGACGATAGAGAGAGCTGCACGTCGTAGCAGAGCTAGAAGAGGCTCAAATGGTCAAGACAGTTGTTTACCCTGAAACAACTGATTGATCAGCAAAATGATTGATTGTGTATGCATGGTACACACATATATGTTACACAGCATTAAAACTGATAGAGTTCAACTATTATCCTGGATTATGGAGACATCATTTACAAAATTATCCCAAGCACCGACACTCTTTATCATTCAGCCATCTGCTTTGCCACTACTGCACCCTTCCACACTCACCACTGCGACCACTATAAATTGGTGAGGTGGCCTTCCCTTCATACTTGGCGGCTTCACCACTGGTTTAATTTCATTTACAAATCAATTCTGGCCAATACACCTCCCTACCCGTCCTCTCTTCTTCCCGTTACCCATAATCCTCATCATACTAGGTGTAGTGAATACATCAAGCTCATCATCCCCAATACCTCTACTATTTTTGGCTGGAACTCCTTTCGCTTTGCAGCAGCTAACGACACTTTACAAAACACTCTCAAACTTACAACCCCGACTCCACTCACCAGCTTCAAGCTTAAAATCCAACAGACTGTAGTTGACTGTTGCTCCTGCTGATCACGCCAGACTTAACTTACATACTTATATATACACGCACACTTTCTTAGACCTCATGCACACCGTTTTTCATTCACATGCATATGCCCCCATGCTTCTTGCTTGTTTAATTTTGTTGTGTCTGTAATTTACATGTGTATTTATTCCTGCTGGCGCCTCTTGGCCAGGTTGTGTTTGCAAATGAGAACTGGTTCTTAAACATTTCTACCCGGTAAAATAAAGGTCAAATAAAAATAAATAAAATTATTTCCTTCACGGACACATAGTGTGCGGATAAAACCCAGTTAGAAATAATAAAAAAAAGAAACAAAAAAAACAAAAAAACACTGCAGCATTTCCATGGTAGCTCAATCTGCCCCAGAGGAAACAGCCCTGATACCTCCTGACCTCCCCAGTGTCAAAAGTTCCCAAAGAAGCTGAGAACTGTAGTTTTCCTTCCTCTTCCTCTGAACTAGCTGATAATTTACCATAGCACCAAAGCGCTGAGTAACACCACGACCATGTGACTCATTTTCCCACCAACACAAGCTAAAAGGACCACAACTTTACGACTTCCTTGAAACAGCAAAACCCAAATTCCCTTCTCACCTTACCCACCTCTTCCCCTCTGTGGCCTCCCCCCTCCCTGTCTCTCCTCCCCACCTAATTAGCAAGTCCCCCCTCCTCCTCCTACTCTTCCTCCTCCATCACTGAGTTTGCCTCCGAGGCGTCAGCAGAGCAGCCAATGGCAGCGAGGAGGATGTGGCACTCAGCCTGCCCACCAATGAACTCACACAGTGGGCGGGGCCTGTATCAAGCCCCTCCCCAGCTCTTTCTCTCTCTCTCTGCCTCCTGCAGCTAAACTTGCTGTCTCACTCATGCTTCCTGGCTTTACTCACATGCACAGAGGAGGAAGAGCTGTAGAGTCTTAGCCACACATGAAGCAGCTCTGTCTATTTTAAACCACACCGGATTGGACTGAGGATATCTTTATATCTCTGGCGGTGTGTGACAGATTGTGTCTTTGAAACAGGGCCAGGGCACAGTTTGAGCTGAGTTGAACATTTTTATTTTTGGGGTGATTTTTTGTCCATCTGTAGGTGGACGTGTGAGTGTGTCTGTGCGAGTGAGTCTGTATGAGTGTGTGAGAGGAAACAAGGAGCAGAATGATTGCGGCCCAGCTACTAGCCTATTACTTCACTGAGCTCAAGGATGACCAGGTTAAAAAGGTGAGTGGTTTCTGTGTCTTCTGCCTCCATTTTTTTTGGTGCTTGATGTTTGTGTGTGTTTTTGAAGGAGGTGAACAAGAAACAAGAGGAGAGGAGCACATGTGTTGTAGAGGTCATTGAGTTTATGTCTTATGTCTCCATCCTAACTTTACGTGGACTTTTCCAGCACAGCACATGTCAGGAATACTTTCATATTCCACGTGTGTCTTCAGGCAAGTGAATGCAACGTTCACATGGTATTGAGAGAACAGCGTAAGACAGACCTATCGTACTTATTTCACATTGAGTAACATTCAGAATTAGACTCGCATCAACCCGGCACAGTGAGACGTGACAAACTGCACAGGGGTGTGTTTATGTAGTAAGATGTGTGAGTCGGCATGACACAAGAGTGTGTGTGTGATTGGTGCCATGATGTAAGATGTGGGAGGTGTGGCGAAGAGGAGGAGAGAGGAAGTCAGTGTGCAAGGATGAAAGGACACACAAGGGCGAGGAGAAGGTAGAAGTTGGCGCAGAAGTTGTTTCAGGGGTCACCGAGTTTCTGTTGTGTTCTCGTTAAAATGATACGTTCACTTTCATTTCTCTCACTGGAGCTTAACACAGTAAGAGGAGGAGAGTGAGACCTGGAAGAGGAAGATCAATTATTCAGTTGAGCAGCTGACCATTATTATTGATGGCCAGTTAGCCGAATACACTGTGTGTGTTTTTAGTCATAGATTCTGTGCCAAAGAGCAGCAGCGTACACGATGTACACAGAGTGCACATGGTGTGTCCCAGCGTCCATATGCTCGGTCTTACAAACATCAGTGTGTGAGCTAAAAGAATAAAAGCTGACAGAAGTGTAAATGAGACAAAACTGGAGCCTGGAGCTAGCACTTCTAGCTTCTTTTAGTATGTTTTAAAGACTGACTTTGAGAAGTGATATGAGGGGAGCACCATGAATGTGTGTCTTTCATAACTTCTCAGCTCAGCGCCCACCGCTGCAAGGCTTCTGCTGTAAAACTGACTGGACCAGTTTAACTCGCCCTCTGACAAGTATGCGTGCATTTACTGAAGGAAAAAGAGCCTTTCCAGTCACTTCCTTCTTGAATAAATGCGCCATAAAAACCCATGTTGCCAGGCACCAAACAGAGCTGCGTTCTATGAACTAACGCAGTCTCATGAAGTAGAACTGACTCAGGGGAAGTTGAAAATCCTCCAGACTCGCTTGTGTCATACTGGACATTTCAAACGTCTTAGTCACATGTTGAAACTATTCCAAGGCCATTTCTCAACATGTGCTTTTTGATTCATACATGTTGCAGGGTCCCTTTAAAGTCGCTCACGGATGATGTCACACGTCAGCTGCAGATTTTGCATCAAACCCACGTCTTTTTCCTGCATGAATCCTCCCCCCTATTGCACTCTTCTTTCTAAGTTCAGTTAAATAGTTCGCTGTTTGTCCGCACACGGCGATACACAGAGCTGCGATCCCCAGGTGAGCTCGCTGTGGCAAAGTCAGATCACATTCTGTGAAGGTAAAAGACATTAATCAGCAGCTAGGATCTGATGTAATACAACACATCTCTCTCCCTCTTTACTCCTGCTCTCTTCCTCTCTCGCCGCCTCCCTAAAATAGGCCAGCTTTGAACCATGTGACCACAGGTGACAGGAGGAGAAGGCTTACACCCACACGCTCACACACAAAGCCAGGTGTGTAGCCATTGTGTTGCTTTTCAGTGATCCGGTTTGTCTAGGCCTCAACAAACACTTCTCTAGTTGTGAAATTGCATGTAGCTAAAAAAAAAACAGAGCAGTCATAAGTGTAAGTGTATGGATAATCTCATCATTGGCAAGTTTTCAGGTAAACTGTCTGTGCTTGTCAAAGAGACTCTGAGCGTGTCTCCCGTCCACTCGTTCCGCTGCAGTGTCCTTGACTGTAGCGAGGCCGTTAGTGGGCATCCGAAGCACTGTTTTAGTTTGTGTGTGTGCATAAGGTGCAGGAGGGGGGCAGTGTAGAGGACAGTATTTTTCCACATGGCCAGGCTGTGTCCGTGCACAACGCCGCGCGCACGTACATGCACGAGTGGAGTCGGGTTTCATTGCAAATCAACCTCGTGGCGACGAGGAGGACGAGGCATTGTTGAGAGGAGGAATGCAAACAGAAAGAAAGGAACAAGAAGCAACCGGGAAGAGAAGGCGGGGGGAAGGAGAGGCAGGCAGGCAGGGAGGGAGAGAGGGTGATCTCCTCCTGAAACTTAAACCAAGCTCTGGGCGGCGTCACAGAAAGTCGTGTCAGAGGTGTGTTGAGGAGTAAACATGGCCTTTACAGACTCATGTGTGCAGCCCAGCAGAGGCCTCGTGTCTCCTAACTGTCAATTAGTGGAAGAAGTGGACCCTCACGTTTTGGTCTAATTGTAAAACTAAGATAAAATCCTCAGTGACAGATGGAGATGAATCTTATTTATTGTGCACACGCTACAGTATATTCTACAGTAGAGATACGTCTATGAGCTGTGTCAGATCAGATGATGCCCTGCTATGACGAAGTGCTGAGACATGGTTTCCTTGCTGCAAACTGCTGAGTCAGAGATGCTAATTTCTTTCCTGCAGCAGGAACTGAATGTAGTCTGGGGGTTGGTGGATTTCTGTTAGTTCTGCGTGGAGCGATGTGGAAAACGACTACTTTTACTGCTCCTGTTTGCAGTCAAGGACCAATCGGAAATGTTGTTTAAGGTTCTATTTAATTTGCTGACTGGAAACACATTGTTATTTGAAGCAAGCCTCAAGAAGACAGTCTTATGGTGAGCTGAGTGCCAGCATAGAGGATAGTTCGCCTCAGCTCTTGCAAGTGAAAACATTATGTGTAAATGAGGAAAAATTATGTTGTATTAAGTACCAACAGTGATGATGAGTAAGAATACGTTATGGGAGGAATGTACCAGAGCAGGAACACTGGCAGGAGGAGCTACGTGTAGCAACAGCTGGCATACACAGAATGAGTTGGCAGCTTAAATAGCTCCGAGCATCAAACTTGAATGGATCTGTTCGCATCAGCTGACAGCTAGAGTTTGTGCACATGTCCTGTGGTTAGCAAATACAAGCTTAACAAGTTCATTCACAGAAACAAAAACAATGCTTCAGGAAGGTTAAACTGATTTCTTTTTTTGACAATATTTCATAAAGTAGTGTTAAATGTCATCTATTTTTGCATTTGATGGCCAACACATTTACAAGCTCATGACTTGTTAATGTTAATAGATGCAAAAAGGTGGTGATGTTTTCCCAAATTAGAATTTGCAATCAGGTCATAGAGGCTGAAGGGAGCAGGATAGACTCAACCACAAGGAGCACTCAACCAAAACAAAGAGCTACAGGCTGTTGATTATCAGTGGAATCGCCACGACTAGCAACCGTTTCCCATTACAGGGATTTATTTGTACCAATGTGAATATCAATAATATCAATAACAAAACTTCAACAAGGTGTCACTTTATGTTCTGAACATATGCCAGTAAAGAAGTGTTTCGTTTAGAGAAGCTTTTCCTTGACTGTTGATCTTTACTTCATATTCAGCCATAAAAATGAATGGTCTTAACATTCTGTGTGAGATGTTTGTGGAAACAGTAGATACTTGTGGTGCAGCAGCTCTAGCTGAGCTCTACTTTCATTTCCCTCATGTTGGGTTAAACAGGCCAAACACACAAAAAAAAATCATTGAAAAAAAAGAAAGAAACTTTGTGGGTTTTTGTTGTCGTCATACGCCAGCATGCAGTTTGAAGAAGCATTTGGTCACGTAGCGTGATTAGGTTAATTTTGTCAACTCTGATTATAGGTATATGGTTTTCTTTTTTGTCAGACATATTTAAGTAGGAGCTGTTTTCACCTTTTGACATTTTTCGACTGACACTTCAGTCTTCCTCAGAAACATCACTGATGTCTGTGGTGATGTTCCCATCCAGGAAACCACCAGCTGAGAAAGTCACGTCACCATAGACGTTTGTGATGTTTCTGAGGAAGACTGAAGTGTCTGGTATATCTGCTTACCTTCATATCTGGTTATTATATGCAAACTATATCTATTCCATTTTGCAGTGTTTTGAATTTGTCAACCATATTTCTTTTAACTATTTTTTTAGATTTTGGAGGTGTTCAGTTTGCATGCATGTGTTTGTTGATGTCTGCATGGAAAGAGATTGTCTGTGTGAGTGTTTCTGGTGTAATTGAGATCACAGCTGCTGAGAGTTCACTGCAGCGTCATGAGAGGAGGGTCGAGCACAAACTTGCTGCTGTTAAAGTGTGCCCTCTAACCACAGAATAGACTTTGGTATAAAATACAGCACAGAGCCTATTTGTTGCACGGTCCAGTATGTTCACAGTACTGATACATTTTACTGAGTTTCTGAAGGTGGGAGCTAACAGTTGCTCAGCTGGGGGCTCCAGTCTGACAGGAACATGTGCTAATGAGCTTTCATCCCAGAGGCAGACTCCACATTTAGACTGAATATAGGGAATGTAACACCCACAGAGTGGTTAACAGTTACTGCTGCTGTCTTGCGTGCGACTGTCCAACCATTTTGGCTCACAGTTTGTTTACATTATTTAAGCAGCGATGCGTAGTTAAACAACATATCGGCATTTGTGTCAAAGACGTGTTAACACCTGGACTGACGATTTACAGTAGTTCAAATTTCACATCTCATCAGCTCAGCTTTAATCTCAATCAGTGCTGGAACGCATGTTATCATTTCACATTTCACATTGTTTGAATGGTCCTTTAACTATCTGCAAATGAAATCAAAAGGCTAATATTGCTGATTGCAACCTTTATGTGTCATATCATGTGTCAGCACAAAGGCCTGCATGACTTAAGGAAAATCTGCAATGTGTGATGACTTTGCTCAATATTCCAATCATGATGTGGTTTGTGATGAATAGTCAAATATTGAAGTGTATTAGCGCTACAGCTCCTACATCTGTCCACTTTAATAGGTACACCGTTAAAACAGACCTCAGATGCTTAAACAACTACCCATGTCGACTGAATGAAGAAATGAATTGACTTATTTTAAACATGCTTTTATTAACAAATAATACTTCAGGGAATTTTACTTTCTTTGCTCCCTTTGAAATATTTTCTTCAAAACTTGACATCTTCCTTGCCCGTGTCTATTTCTTTAAACATTGTGCTTGTAGTCGTCACCAAATTGATTGTTCTGAGAGTAGCTGATGAGTTATGTGCTGCACGTCATATAACAGTCTGATGATCATCCAATTATGAGTCCTAAAGATGACTTCAAGGGTCAATCCAGCTTTCGTATAAAGTCAAAGTGAAAGGACTTTTAACCAGAGTTGTAAGTGAGTCATTTCTTACAACCTAAATGCATGACTAATGTATCCAAGGCTTCATCTACAAATGCAGATGTACGCATTCACTTTGCATGATGCGATGCTGAGCGTGAATACATAGTGTCTACATTTCTCTTTAATAATTTCAGGCAGTCTTTTGTGTTTATTGCACATATTCATATCACTATGGGGATTAAACATTATACAGCTTTTGGGTCAGCACTAGTGTAACGCACATATATTTTCTCTACTATAAAATCCGTTTCTGGCACCAGCAGATCACAAAACAGAGCTGTTCTGTTCCGGACACCAGAGCTGTTTCAGGAAACGTTGTTAATTTGTGACTCCAGAAACAGGACGTTACAACATTCCTTCCAAAGACTTTTACTGTAAATACTCAGGCAGACGTCACAGCACATCCAAGCATTGTTCGAGAGTGAATATTTCACGTGATCATGTTGAAGTGTGATGTGCTGTTTGTCACATAGCAGTGATGATAATCCAGTTATGAGTCCTACTGATGACTTAAAGGGTCAATCTGCTCTTTACTGAGCAAGTCATGATGACGGGGACATTCAACCAGAGCTGTATATGAGTAACATTCAGTGACGTTTGCCACCCTTTCAAATTATAATCTCAAATCACCCTGTGTGATGCAACAATGGCTTTCACCAGGATTGTTTAACATCCTGTTTGTGAAAGGCCACACAGCTCAGCCCGTTTGCTTCATCGGCCGCGGTTAAGAGAGCAGGTCGTGTCAACAGGCTAAACTTTATCATTTCCAGATACGATGACAAACATCTTTTATCTGTGGGTTTGGTGCAATTTCTAATCAGAAAAACTTCTGACTTGCCCTGTCTGTATATGCAGCCTTATCACTGTCATACAAATAATAAAACCGTAAGGAACACCAGTCTATGTAATGTGACCTTTTGAAAGGACAAAGATGATGATGCACTATTCACCATATACTGACTGCACAATCAGACTGAGTAAAGATATTCGCTCAGTTATTGTGCAATAAAGCAGCATAAAAATAGTGATTATATTGTATGGCTGTGATTCGTCTCTGGGAACAGTTTAGATGTTTGTCGTTTCAGAAGGTGGATTAGCCTCATGAAAGACTACGAGCTTTATGGGATGGGCGGTTAGTCATAATAACGGCATCACTGTGCTTCTATTGTGTCGTTAGCAAACACAGTGACTTTAAGTATAAACTGAGGCTGTGTCAGACGATACAGTGTCAAAGTTTATGTGTGAATCCTAACATGTGACCTTGATATCAACAGTATTGTTGCGTCAGATTGATGATTAATGGTTAAGATTGATCTGAAACATGTTTTTGGTTTATTTTCAGATCGATAAGTACCTGTACTCCATGCGTTTCTCTGATGAGACGTTACTCGACATCACGCAGCGGTTTCGGAGGGAGCTGTCCAAAGGACTCGGCCGGGACACGAATCCCACTGCTGCGCTGAAGATGCTGCCAACGTTTGTGCGGTCAATCCCTGATGGATCAGGTGAGCACGTCTAAACCTGTATTTTATCACTTCGACACCAAGTGACAGCAGAGGCCAGACTCTGTTCTGACCAGAGAGCTATGGAGCCAAAAGTGTTCCTCTACAACAACAGCCAAAGAACTACAGAGTGTGTAGGTTTAGTATATTAGCAGAACCACAGGTGACAGATGGAGATTATGATGATTAAAGACCCCCTTCTGTGAAACTCAAGTTGTTTCCCTTGTTTAACTCTCTGGGTTCTCCGGCTTCCTCCCACAAGGTCCAAAAACATGTTGAGGTTAACTGCTGATTCTAAATTGTCCGTAGGTGTGAATGTGAGTGTGCTTGGTTGTCTGTCTCTAAGTGTAGCCCTGTGATAGACTGGTGACCTGTCCAGGGTGTCCCCTGCCTTCACCCTGAGTCAGCTGGAATAGGCTTCAGCCCCCCCGTGACCCGAGTGAGGATTAGGCAGTGTATGGATAATGAATGGATGGATGGAAAAACTTACCCAGAACTAAGTTTTTAGTAGTTAAATCAATGTCTGTTGAGTCCGGTGAGTTAGCTGTCTAGTCCACATGCAGCATAAAGTTTTGCAGATAACATGGTGTAGTTTGTTTTGCAGCAATAAGGTGACAGAGAGCCGCTCGTTGTTCTCTCCTGTTGTCTGTGTTAAATGTTAATGCCTGGTCATTTGCACACAGACATTATGGATTTTCAAACTGCTCCGTGATCAATGCTGTACGTCAGCTGTCCTCTCTCCTTCATTCGTCATTATGTCATTGTCTGCTGTGTGCGTCACCGCAGTCCCTCTGCCCTTCACTTAAATGTGAGGCAGGATTTTTTTCCTCACCTTGTACGTGCTGTTCTCTGGGAGGAGATTGTCCGTCAACCTGAGCTGAGAGGCAGATTTTATTACATTAGTCAGCTGTATGTTAATGGCAGCAAAGCTTGCGTTTCCCTTCACACGTGAACACAGACTTTTCTATTCTGATCTATTCTATTGTAACTCGATTCTAACAACACGAGAGCTGCAGCTCCAGACACACAACGTTACAGACACAGATCAGAGATTAACACTAATCCTGCTGCCATTGTTGGAGAAGTAATTCCTAAAGGTACAGTGATGCAGATGCAGACACCTGGAGTTACATAACAAAGTGTTTCTAGTCTCCTCGCTGCTTCATCCTAAACATCGAACCGTGCTGCTGCAGAGGACAAAGTGGGACAGTTTGGAGTTGCTGTTTTCTGATATTGACTTATTAATGAATTGTTATTTTACATTACATCCATAATAATGTCCTTATTGGTAGTTAACATAGACACATAGAGTTGGGAGGTTGGATTGTTAGTCCAGCAGGTTAAACACAGGCGGAATTAGCCTGCGTTTTGTTCAGCTGATAACTTGACGGTAACGACAGACTGGACCCATAAATCCATCAGTTTGCTTTGTGGTGATTAAAATAACTGAATTCAATCTTTCTACATTATCTTGGATATTCACAGATGTGTCACAATATCACAACACGTCTTCATTTCCACTAACCAACAGTGAATTTAAAACTATTTAATGTTTTCTCATCATTTTAAAACCACAACCACTCTTCCATTTCCACAAACTAATGCTACCGTAAATGGGATTTTTTTTTGTTTTTATTTTGTGTCCTTGGTGTGTTTGAGATAAACTATCGGTTACCAGCAGGACCATGCTGACCTGACCTCGCTTTGCCCAAATACTGGTGACAGAAGATCATAACAATAATGTGAAATTACAGAAGAGGGTAAAAGCCAAGTAGTAGTTTGTGCTCTTATTATCACATTTACTCTTAAATAACATAATGTGACATAATGCACATCATGAATTTCTATATTTCAATTATTGTTGTACCATCATAACTTCCAGCAGTGTCAGAAAAATATTTAAAGGGTTTGTAAATTAGTTGATACACAAATCAATGACCTTTACCGTCAAACTGTTTGTTTATACTTCTTAGAGTTAGATTTGTTGGATCACAGAAGAGGAAGAGCTCAAATGAAACAGGAGGCAGTGAGACAGTAGCAGACCATATCTGTAGTGACTGAGAGGTTATTGCCAGTTTTATCAAAGGTCAATGCGCTCTTATTATGGATGAGCCGTGATAAGCAGCTCCTAATCAGACAGCTATAAATCCATTATGTTAGACAGAAACTGTAAACTATGGTGCCAGTGTGCTGGTGAATGACTGTGAACTAAAAATGTACCAGAACTTAGTGCTCTGTCATCACAGGCAGCAACACAACACAGGGTCTCATTATCCAGTACATTAGGGCTCAAGGTCACATTTAACACACCAGACGTTTCTTTATGCCTCTGCATTATAGAAAAACAAACATTCTAAGCATTTTAACACAGCAGCATTCATTCATACGTAGATAATATTTTAACATTTACTAGACAAATTAACTACTTCTAACACTTTTAATAATATTAATAATACACAATTTACATTTCACAGATGTTTGTCACTTTGAATAAATGTGTACGTGCTGCTTTTCCCATCTCTATAATAATTGAATTTACTCATGAAGTATCTTCTCTGATGAGCTCCTTATCAGCTGAAATATGCCAGTGGTGGAATGAATCATTAACCAATAAATATACAGGAGGTTATAGGAATCATGCAGTATTACACATCAGCACACACACTCATGAAGAAACCGAGCACATGTATTACTTCCTGCTACTCTGTATTTGGAGGAGCTGACAGGTCAGAGCTAAAGCTATCTGGAACATCTTTCCATATAGAACTTCTTCCTTATGGCACATTGTGTGACATTATTTCATAGTGAGAGCTCTATTTGTTTATGAGGCACGTATTCCTGTTGAGGGATTGGCTGTGTATCATACAGTAATGTGGAACACACAGTACTTTCCTGAGGAAGAAATGTCAAGCGCTAATGCTGATGTACCTAAATACACTGGCATTTCTCTCCCTCCCTCCCTTTACCTCCTCTGACCTTCTCCTATACTGTCTCATTCTGTTCCAACAGAGAAAGGAGACTTCATTGCTCTGGATTTGGGAGGCAGCAACTTCAGGATCCTCCGCGTCAAAGTGAGCCATGAGAAGAAACAGACCGTTCAGATGGAAAGCCAAATCTACGACACACCGGAGGACATCATGCACGGCAGTGGAACAAGAGTAGGTTTATGCTGAAACACAGACAGACACATACACAGTCTCTCCAAAGAACCTGCACCAACCTCTTCCTCCCTCCACCTCTGCTCCAGCTGTTCGACCATGTGGCAGAGTGTCTCGCTGACTTCATGGAAAAACACAACATCAAAGACAAGAAACTCCCAGTTGGGTTTACCTTCTCCTTCCCCTGCCAGCAGACCAAACTAGATGAGGTAAAGCACGTGGTCGACTTCCGTAGCGTGTTCAATTTATTATTCTTCATGCAAATGTCTGACAACCTATCTTGCAGTCTATTTACATGATGAGCTGCCACAGTAGTTGAGGCGTGATCCAATGTAACCTGGTTGTGCCCGGCTCAGCCCAACAAACCTCGACTCACCTGAACGTGAAATCTTTCTTTTTCCTGTCTCATTTCCCTCTGGCTCTCTGTGCTTGTCTCCAGGGCTACCTGATAACGTGGACAAAGCGTTTCAAGGCCAGCGGAGTGGAGGGGATGGATGTTGTCAAGCTGCTCAACAAAGCCATCAAGAAACGAGGCGTGAGTCTCATCTTTTGTCTCACTCACGTTCACTTCACCTCTGTTGCATTTGGTTTCATTTTAGGATGCAAAATGGCACAGATGGCAGCTGTCAAAAGCTCACCGACATGCCGGTGTTTTTATTTGTTTCAGGACTATGATGGTGACATCATGGCAGTTGTGAATGACACCGTGGGAACCATGATGACCTGTGGCTTCGACGACCAGCGCTGCGAAGTCGGCATCATCATCGGTACTGTGCATCTGAATAGTTCATGCACCAGTCAAATTCAAAGAGTGTGTGTGGCAATAAATTCAATACTTTTCAAACAGCCAACTACAAATTAGATACAACTAAAAAATTGACAAACTGAGTGCCAATATTCATCTGTGCTTTGTTTTGTGAATCAAGGAAATAATTGCAGTCACTTTATCTGATAAATGTGTTGCTGTGTCTTCAGGTACGGGCACCAATGCGTGCTACATGGAGGAGCTGCGTCACATTGACCTGGTGGAGGGAGACGAGGGCCGGATGTGTGTGAACACCGAGTGGGGAGCCTTCGGAGACGACGGAAGGCTGGAAGACATCAGGACAGAGTTTGACAGGGAGATAGACCGAGGCTCCATCAACCCAGGCAAACAGCTGTACGTCAAACCAAAACGTGTCACTTCCTTGTTCACTCCTGAGATAGAATGAACTCCTAAGCTGCAAGGCCGACGCAGAATGAGCTGATGACTACCTGTCAGCCACACTGTTCTGTATTGTTTTTAAACATTTTTGATTTTTAAAAAGAAATACAAGATGCCTTTAGCTTCAGATCAGCTGCTAAAAATATAGCTTCTAGTGGCATATTTAACTACAAGAGGACTGCTGTGTGTTGGAAACAATGAGGTGTTGTGGTATTTAACCCAAAACTTTCTTGATGTCTGTTGTTTTCTTGCGCCGTAGATTTGAGAAGATGGTCAGTGGGATGTACCTGGGGGAGCTGGTTCGTCTCATCCTGGTGAAGATGGCCAGAGAAGGCCTGCTGTTTGAGGGAAGGATCACCCCTGAGCTTCTGACTAAAGGGAAGTTTGAGACCAAGCACATCTCGGCCATAGAGAAGTAAGTCACACTACGGGACTGCAACAGGTCAATTCACTTGTTTTATCAAGTTGTTCCACAGAAGAAAAGCATTCATAGTCAATCTTATCAGTTTCTAGTCCATCATAGCATCTCTTTGTCTCTGTTCATCTCCCCTGTTTAGGAGTAAGGAGGGCTTGTCCAAGGCAAGAGAGATTTTAATCAAACTTGGCGTCGAGCCCTCAACGGAAGACTGCATCGCTGTGCAGCATGTGGGTATCGCTGCTGAATTACCACTTGAATCATGTAAATCCTGCCTCTCAAGGAGGACATGTAAATAGTGAAAAGTATATTGAAGTAGTTCATGTTTCACTTTTACACAAACCACTTAAAGCTAAGTGAAAGAATGAAATGAAATGAAAATATTTGACCCCTACTGTAGTATTTTTGGCGTTTGTGTTCAGGTTTCTTTTAAGGACAAATGGAAACAGTTTCCTTTTGCAGCATGTCTGAGCACTTTTGATTTAAAGAATTACTTGAAACATTTATGGGACTTCCGAGTTGCTGCTTCATGAATTTCTCCCCTCACCACTCCTCCTCCTCCAGGTTTGTGCCATCGTGTCTTTCCGCTCTGCCAACCTGATAGCTGCCACACTGGCTGCCATTCTAAAGAGGCTAAAGGAGAACAGAGGAGTGGCACGTCTCCGAACCACTGTCGGGATTGACGGCTCTCTGTACAAGATGCACCCACAGTGAGTGTCGATAAGATTAAAAACAAGCTGTATGATAGCTCACCTGGTTGAGCTGGCGTCCCATGTGCAGGGCTACAGTCCCAATGTGGAGGTCATGGATTCGAATCCCGCTCATGACCCTTTCCCACACGTCCTCCCCCCATTCTTCTCCCCTACTTTCCTGTCTCTCTCTCACTAACACTATCCAATAAAGGCACAAAGGCCAAAAAAAACCAAAAAAAAACAAGCTGTATGGATTTGTATTTCTCTTACATGCATTATCTTTTAATATCATGCATGTATCACTTTTCAACAAAATTGTTTGTGAATTGCCATCAGCCAATGGAACTAACTATAAATCCCAAATTATTGTCCATCAGTATGTCTGATACTAACCACAGAGCATACATTAGTAAGTTCAGCACCTAAACTGTCTTCCATCTGTTCCAGGTATGCCCGTCGTCTTCATAAGACTGTCCGACGTTTGGTCCCTGACTCCGACGTCCGATTCCTCCTCTCAGAGAGCGGCAGTGGAAAAGGTGCTGCCATGGTGACAGCTGTGGCCTACAGACTCGCCGAACAGTCGCGACACATTGCCCAAACACTGTCTGAATTCCGCCTGACAAACGAACAGCTGCTAGAGGTGAGGAGAGGGATAGTGTGTCGCCTTACTGTGTGTTAATCCAATAATCAGATGAATTTAATGATCGAAACATTCTTTACTTCTTCAGGTAAAGAAGCGAATGAGGACAGAGATCCAAAATGGCCTTTCAAAGAGCACTCAGGACTCTGCCACTGTCAAAATGTTGCCAACCTTTGTACAAAGCACTCCCGACGGCTCAGGTAAAAACACGTGGACTCGCTCACATGCTTGAACATATGCAAGCTGACGGTTTGTTTTGGCACATCTGCTATTAGGAGAGAACAGCTACTATCATTGCTCGGCAGCTAAGCTCCTGATTACTGGCTCACACCATGTCAAACCTCTCAGTGACTGATGGAGCCCTCGGCCAAAAATAATTATCACTGGAATGTCGTATTCTCTGTACTGTCGTCACAGTTTGTCCTAAATAATCCTGTTTTATTTTTGCAAATTTTGAAATCCAAGACAGACAGAAAACATCCAACTGTGTCCTTGTAGGGTCTTTACATACATGTACCCAACAGGGAGACAGTGTTTGTATCCGTAAAATACAACTGCAGATAATCACCCTCAGATGTTCATTTAGATCACTGGACTGTGAGTATTTTGGCTCCTGGTTGTGCGTTTATGTCGGTCTCTCTGTTTATGTGTTTATCCAGAACATGGTGATTTCCTGGCTTTGGATTTAGGAGGAACCAACTTCAGAGTTCTGATGGTCAAGATTCGTTCTGGAAAGAGGAGAACGGTGGAGATGCACAACAAGATCTACGCTATTCCTATGGAGGTGATGCAGGGAACAGGAGAGGAGGTGAGCTGGACCATCAGACATCCGTCATGTGACCCAATAATCCACATTAAACTGAATGAATTACACAAGCTGGGCACTGCAGTGGAAGACAGAAGGATAAGTTAAAAGATCTGAACTGAACTGAACAGCAAAGATTACGGTAGTTGTGCAGGAGGCCGATGTGTGACTCTTGTTTGTTTAGTGGTGAGTAAATAGGATAGAAGCTGGGAAGAAGGTCAATAGGTTAAAGGTAGACAAACAGAGCGGCTGATTGGTTGAGATTAGCATCGAGTTGACAATCTTTAAAAGATAGATTTGAACTTAACCCTTGTGCACTGGCTGAAGTTAATCCAGTTTGTCACCTCTGGCCTCTTCACCCACACTCCTCCATCTGTTCCCTTGAGCCCATGACACCACACATGACAGAAAAATCTGAATAACGGCACAATATTACTGTATGATTTCACCGGTGTTTCTCCTAATTTGACCTCTTCTAAAGACTGAGCCCTCTACGATAGAACTTGCACCGACATTATTTTTATTCTCCAGCATATCCTCCAAGTTTCAACCTGAGCAGAGAGCTAATTAGCCAGAGTAAGTGAGAGACTTGTGTAGGTGTGCAGGCCTTTAAAAAAGTGGCTTAAATCCTCATGTTGGTCAGAAAAGCTCCAAGATATCAGACGTGATGTGTGTCCAAACATCACTATGCATTTTATACCATGACTCCCAAATGGTCATGTTGTCGACTAAGGTTCACTATAGTCTATACTGTGCACTCAAATGATCCCACAGTGCCTGGTTAATAGTAAAATAGTGAAAGATTCCATTCTGTCTTTCTGCCCTTAATAACTTCTAATGAAAAAACGATTTGCACCCATTGTGTCTTTATGTTAACTCAACCATCACTTATGGGGAGGGTAATATAAGTACATTAAAGGCTTGATTCATAACAGTAGTGCAGCAGCAGTATTACTGCTTAAGTGATTCAGTGTTTAATTACCATCTTATTGGCCGGTGATGATAGACTGTGGTTGGGCTGGCAACTGTGCGGTGTCCATATACGACACACTCACAGCTGCTTCTCCAGTACTTCTCTTCACAACTGCATGAAATAAAACTAACTTGACTGAAGGTTAGTGACATATGTGAACAACAGAGACCCTCTAAGAGCCATTTTTCTCTGTCACACATCTGAAATCCCTACAGACGAGTGAAATTATAAAGCTGTGCCAAAACACTTAAAAACAATGAGATTCTTAATGGTGCCATACATCAAATTCAAATCTGGCCACTAATTAAAGCTTAATATTGTGGGTGGAAAACTAATAACCAGAAGCTCAAAATGGAATGACATTTAATAGTGTTTTGTTTCACTCATTATCATATCGTTCCTCCTTTTCCAGCTGTTTGATCACATTGTGCAGTGCATCAGCGACTTCCTGGACTACATGGGCATGAAGAACGCTCGCCTTCCTCTTGGCTTCACCTTTTCGTTCCCCTGCCGACAGACCAGGCTGGATGCTGTGAGTGTCCTCTTTTTTTCCCCCTCTCTTATATACATTGTACTGTCTTGTGACTGCATAGCATCATGGGCAAACCTCAAATATTTCCAAATTATTAACTTTATAACACTCAAGAGAAACTGTTTTATTTTTAGCTCAACCGCTCTGGGTTTTTTTTACAAGTGCAAAGAGGGAACAATCTTTTGAGTACACCGTGAAGTTTTTGCATGATGTGCAGAACTCGTGTGTGTCTGTGTGCAGGGCATCTTGGTGACATGGACAAAGGGCTTCAAGGCGACAGACTGTGAAGGAGAAGATGTGGTGGGACTGTTGAGGGAGGCCATTAAGAGGAGAGAGGTAGGATATGAGAAAACAGGATCATTTAGTTGAACAAAAATACAGACTGGGTCATAATACGTGTTTCTTCTTAAGGAATTTGACCTGGATGTGGTGGCCATCGTCAACGATACGGTGGGAACCATGATGACCTGTGCCTACGAAGAACCCACCTGTGAGGTTGGACTCATCGCTGGTTAGTTCACCTTATACTGACTAATTCTGATAAATATTCAGCTTCCTCTGCTCCGCCCCACTAACACACCGTTCTGATTACAGGTACCGGCAGTAACGCGTGCTACATGGAGGAGATGAAGAACATTGAGATGATAGATGAAGACGAGGGACGGATGTGTGTCAACATGGAGTGGGGGGCCTTCGGAGACAACGGATGCCTTGACGACATCAGGACGGAGTACGACCGATCTGTGGACGACTTCTCCCTCAATCCAGGCAAACAGAGGTGCCTCTTATACACAGACATGTTGTGTCCGTGCTCTTCAAGTCAGAAACACGTGAAAACTTTATGTCTTTGATTCATACGCCTATTTATTGGTTTGTGCTTGCTTGTTTCAGATATGAGAAAATGTGCAGCGGCATGTACCTCGGTGAGATCGTGCGGAACATCCTCATAGACATGACCAAGAAAGGATTTCTGTTCAGGGGACAGATTTCTGAAACACTGAAGACTAGAGGCATCTTCGAAACAAAGTTCCTCTCACAGATAGAAAGGTAAAGAAACAAATAAACAGGCACCTGGGCTGTTTGTGCTTGAATTTAAGGAGGGGAGAAGTGTTCTGGACTCGTGCCTCATTTTTCTAAGCTGTAAACGTGACAACATCAGAAACAGGACTCCATTAACAGCCTGCAACAAATTCCCTTTGCTTATTTTGGGTGCAAGTGTTCTTATTCTTTTAAGTGGCATGTTTTGGTTTATTTCTTCTCTTTTACGGTTAAATCTTTCTTCGTGTGTCTCTCTCCAGTGACAGACTGGCTTTACTGCAGGTGAGATCCATCCTGCAACACTTAGGTCTGGACAGCAGCTGTGATGACAGTATCATCGTCAAAGAGGTAAGTAGGACAGAGACGAGTTGTAAATAAAAAAGAATAATGTGTTTTTCTAATTTCTACCTGACTAAAAACTCCCTCTTAAGCATGTAGTAGCTAATTTAGTCTCAAACCTTAACCTGTCCATGTGCACACTGTAAAACAAATGGACACGCACAATACTATTTTGTCAGCCTCATCTTGTGAAAGACAAGAAAGTATGTGACTCTACAGCAGTATAAGACACACGGACACGTTTGAGTTGTGTTTGTTTTTAAGGTTTGGTGGGCGATATGTAGTTTTGTGTGGCAACTATAATCTGCTAACTGTTGCAATAATGATAATGGCTCTTATTGTTAGGTGTGCGGAGCTGTGTCACGGCGTGCCGCTCAGCTGTGTGGTGCAGGAATGGCGGCTGTGGTTGATAAGATTAGAGAGAACCGAGGACTGGACCATCTGGACATCACCGTAGGGGTCGACGGGACATTGTACAAACTACATCCACAGTAAGTGTAATTCATCTTACAAAACTGTTCAGAGTCTACCGAAGTGAATAAAAAGTCAAGATGAGATGTAACAAAGAGAGATCGCAACCTTTACATTTACAAGATGGTTAAAGATGTTGAGCAAACATAGTTGTTTTGCTGTCTTTTATCTTCACACATGATGCTGAACAAGGCGAGATGCTGATTATATACAGTGAATATTAAAGTATCCACCTTCCTTTTCCCCTTGTATTGCTTTTCAACATTAATCATGGTAAATATAATTAGGGTTTTTTGTGTTTGTTTGTTTTTTTTACAAGAATTCACAAAAAAGACTCTTTTGTGTCAAAGTTATAAGAAATTTCTACAAAATAATATCAATTAATTCAAAAAATAAAATATAAAATAAGTGATGGTATTCACATTTCTAGAATATCCCCGGTTCGCATCCCAACCTGGGATCTTTCTGTGTGGAGTTTGGATGTTCTCCCTGTGCAGCGTGGGTTCTCTCTGGGTTCTCTTCCTCCCACAATGTCCAAAAACATGCTGAGGTTAATTGGTCATTCTAAATTGTCCGTAGGTGTGAATGTGAGTGTGCTTGGTTGTCTGTCTCTAAGTGTAGCCCTGTGATAGACTGGTGACCTGTCCAGGGTGTCCCCTGCCTTCACCCTGAGTCAGCTGGGATAGACTCCAGCCCCCCTGCCACCCTACAGATGATTAAGCGATGTACAGATGATGGATGGAGGGATGGTGATGGTATTCACCTCCCTTCAAGTCAGTATTTAGCAGATGGCCACAGTTACAGCACTGAGTCTGTTCAATCAACCATTCACATCTGCACACTGCAATTAGACCCCATTCTTGTTGGTTAGATTGCACAGGGATAATAATTGAAGAGCCCTTTTTAAGTCCAGCTACACATTCTCAATTAGACTGAGGTCTGTGCTCCGACTGACCCACTCCAGAAGATTCACCTTGTTGTTTTTAAACCGTTGCCGTGTAGTTTTGGTTGTATGCTTCGGGTTATTATCTTCCTGGAAAACGAGTCTTCTCCCAAGTTGCAGTTCTCGTGCAGACTGCATTGGGTTGTTCTCTAGAATATCACTATACTTTGCTGTATTTACTTTACTCTTTACCTTTATAAGCCTTCTAGGGTCTGCTGCCAAGAGGTGGCCCCTCATAATGATGCTGCCACCACCATGCTTCATGGTGGGATGATTTGTTTGTGATTATGTGCAATGTTTGGTTCTTTCAGGCGTTAAATAGGCATCTTGGTTGCCTCTCTTACTCATCTCTCTCTGCACAGTCACTTAGTTTTTGAGTCTCTAGGCAGACTTACACATGTGCCATATTCCATTATGTAATTGTGTATTTAACTGTAATCCAAGGGAGGTTCAGTTACTTGGAGATTGTCTTTTATCCATCCCCTGAATTTAGTTTTGAGTCACCTTTTAATGGAGTTGCTTGGAGGGTTCTTTTGTCCTCATGGTGTAATTATAACCAGAAGTACTGACTCACCAATGACTAGAGCTTCCAGATACAGGAGTCTTTATACTACCATCACTTAAGACACATCCTCTGCAATGAGATGATCTCCATGTGTCCATTGTGTAACTTGTAGCACCTATTTGCCGCTCCTTGGTTGAATTAGGAAGTCACTTTAAAGGGGGTGAATACTTATGAATTCACTTGTTTTATGTTTCACATTTTTTCATTAATTGGCATTTCGCTGGAAAAGTCTGTTTCCAAGGGGGAGGTTTCTACTTTCTATCAGCACTGGTCTGTTATGCTGGCTTGATGTGTGGCTAATTTACAAGTTAACCAGTGGAGAAACCATTTATCTTAAACAGACAATCCATGAAGTGTTCAAGTAATTATGAAATCTAAAGATCACTCATGATATTAAGAGTACAAATCTTGTGCATTAGCTGCCTGCAGATCATGTCCACTCATGCTTTAGTTATGTCATAATTAAAGTTCAATTAATTGCTCAATCTCAGCTCAAAAGCTCCATCAACAAAACATAGATTAAATGAATGTTATTTGTTTGGTTGTGGATAAATTCCCTAATCCTATCAATTTACCACCACTTGGGAAATCAAGCAAAGCTAAGCCTTGGTTTATGCTGAACAAAGATCGTCAGAAAGGTTTCTTATTCAGACAGGAGAGCTCTGGCTGTCTTGCACGTGGACATAAAAACTCCTGTTTAACTTGTTAAACATGAAACAAGCGAGTTTGTTCAGATGGTCACCAGCTTTGGCTCCTTCTCTTGCTGGTTGATTTCATGAAGTTAAAACCACGTCCTTTATGTTAGCATTAGTGCCAAACCCCATTCATCATATTTTTCCTCCTAACAAATCTTTTTTGTGTCCGTCTAGTTTCTCCCGGATCATGCACCAGACGGTAAACGAACTGGCTCCTCAGTGTAACGTCAACTTCCTTCTGTCGGAGGACGGCAGCGGGAAAGGAGCTGCTCTCATCACAGCTGTGGGCTGCCGGCTGAGGCAGGAGCTGAACAACAAATAGAAAAAAAAACAAAAATCTCCTCCGTCTCACCCCCTCGACACCTCACCCATTGTCTCCTTTCTTCCTTAATCAAACGAGTCCAATCAACACATCACGCCCCAGTAGCTGCTTTAGTCCGTCTGCGTGACTGAGAGAAAAGGAGTCGGCTCTCTCTGTTGTGTTTAGTCGCAGAGAGTCAGGCACTCTGTCGTAGTTAGATTATTTTTTGATTAACCATTGTAACAGCACCCAGTCTCTTAAGGGGTTTGCAGTTTTTGTGATTCCTGAGGTTAAACTTATCATAGGGATAAAACACGCACATTCAACTCCTGGAAAAATAGAAAAAATGGAAAAAAAAAAATTTGCAGGGCAGAAAGAGGGGGAAAAAAATACTTGACACACTCCTGTAAAGGTCCTCTGTCTCCACCTGGAGGATTCGTCTGGTAACCACAGTCTGTTACAAACTTCCCAGCACACCAGTTGCAGGGTGTTGATCCTTGTGACGTGTTCAATAGATGCAGGGACATAAAAACACTGTTTTACACCAAAGTCACCAAAGTGTGTCTGCTGTGGACTACTCACTGTCTGTACAGGAAGATATATATATAAAAAAAAAAGATAAGAGATGATATATGTGTAATGAGATGAAAGGGAATATTTTTGCTTTAAGATTTTTAATATCTTACCCGAATATAATACAATATGTTATACATATAATGTTGCTATTTATTTTATTTTTATATTGGGAGATGTTGAAAAAAAAAAAAATGTTACTGTTGCAATAATGATGCACACAGAAATCAGCAAAGTTCCCTCAGATGGTGGCCGTCCTCTGTTTACGGGCAGCAACGTGACTGAAGAGGGACTTCTTCTTGATCAGCAGGAAATCGTTTCTGAATGTGCACGCTTGGTAGATTGTAAGACGGCAATCTCTATTATTATCTGTGCTCTAATGTAAAAAAAAATATGTCCTGCTGTCGGTACTAATCACAGCTGTTGTTGTTGTTGTCTGTAGAAGTTCGCTCATCGCCACGGTGAGACTTATCAGTTACCTAGCAACAGCCATGAAACAGGCAATTGGTGCTAACATGAATGCCAGAGGAACAACCATGGCCAAACTGTATGAATATACAAGAACATCACAGTAGCCGAGACTTTTAAGAGGAATTCAAATGTTTTGGCAAGAAAGCATATCCTTACACCGACAAGCTCCCAACAGCTCAGGAGGGTGTTCAACTACTGTATGGCTCATTCATGTAGCACAATTCATGCAAATTCTGAAGTATTTATTTTCTCTTCATCTAGATGATCACTAATATTGAAAGACTGGTGAGTTTGTTCACCGGCAGTTTTATGAGACAGTTATCAATGTAGAGGCTGGCCTCTTTTTTTTGATCAAATATGAAGATGTTTGAGACCATAAGACGGAAAAATGATCTATTCTGAGGTCAGTGGTACCGAGATTCAACACTTTATTTTCCTGCCATCTTTGTAAAATACCAAACGAGTTAGTGGAATTTTCTTTTCCACCTTTTAATCAAACTGTCAGGATAAAAAAAAAAAAAAAAAAAGGCCAGCCTCTCCAGCGCGTCCTAAGCTACTCCGTCTTCCCCAAATTACTCAGTCTAAACGCCAACCCTCGTCATTCACAGAACACCTTAATCTCTTTGCTTCTGTTCACAAAGCCTAGACTGTATCTGTCCAACACTGTCAATCAGTCACTAAATAAAAACAAACCTGTGTCAATCTGAAGCCCTGTTTGTTTCGCACTAATGTACATGTCTAAATGTTCAATCAGAATGTAAGCTCGAGCCTCCACGTGTGCTATAATTAGTGTGAAGCGTTCTTGTGCAGGAACTTTGCAGCAAAACCTGTTGAGTCTGATGTTTCTGTAGCCGCAGGCGACTGACAAATACAAAATATGTTAACAGCTGTCACAGCAGAAATGCAGGTTGTCACGTGCACAAAACTTCAATGGCATCTGTGGCGGAAACATAATAAAGGTGTGTGTGTGTGTGTGTGGGTAATTGCAGTGCAATTTTATTACCACATTAAATCAACATACTTTTGACTTTTATGTAGGTCACAAACAACAAACTTCCTGCTTTGTCTAGACAACAAATACAGATGTTTCATGCTGTCACTGTGTGGTTTTAAAAGGCCAAAGTCATAAAGAATCAAACTTTTCTTTTTTCCGTTTTTTTTTTTTTTGCTACATTCTGAAATCGCTCACACGCTACAGCATTTAAAACATCATGACTCTAAACGTCCAACCATTTGTTTCATGTTGACATTTCCACTTCATCAGCATATTTTACATTAATGTACATTCTTCTCAGTAGTGGCACTTTTACGTTTTAATTTAGACTCTACTGTACACTGACCCTAAATACACATCACAGCTTTATGAACCCTTCAAATCACAATATAAGAGCAGAATACAGTAACAAAGGCGTAGTACTATACAGCAACAGACTAACCAGACAATTATGAACTAGGCTCGTCCAGCAAATTCAAGGCTGATTTTCCCTTTACATGTTTAATATGAATATCCCAGTGTCAGTGTCAGTTAAGCAGAAATAATAATAGTCCTTACTGTCACTGAGCAGTTGTTAGCAGCTGGTGATCACACTTCCACCAGGGATTTTCTATCTCACTGAGCTGAAACGACAGATCTCACAAACTAGATGTTGGCTTTTTACAAACTAATCTAAAATCATCAACATGGCCAACCCCAGAATATTTAAAGGAACTAACCTGCGCTTTATTGTCAATATTTAATGCCGGAAAGGTTGGAAAAGTCTTCGTTATAATCAGCAACCACTGATTGACTTTGATTATTGCGCTTTATGATTGGTGAAGCAAAATAGAAAAGTTCCTTCAAGAGAAAGAAGAGCTCCTGTATCAAAGGCAGAAAACACACAAACAACAATGTTAAGGCTTGATGCTGATGCCAGTGGACTGATCGTCCACTTTATGCACTAAAAAACCAGTAACCACAGTTAGATCTTGCCGTAAACACCAAAATATCCAAAGCTGAGACAAAGAAGAAAAGCATCAGTGATGAAAGAAAAGATGCAGAGAAAGAAGGTTTGAAACAAAAGACATAGATGGTTGAATTCATCTTCAGACTTCTTCCCAATTGCGTGAATGTTGCAACATCAGAAACAGCCTCTTTTGTTTTCCAGTATGTGTTTTGTTCCACATGAGCAGTTTGGAATTCAGAGTAAAACCTCCGTCTGCTTCACAGTCACATTCATAGACGTACATCTTTTAATGGTCCCAAGTCTGACGAACAACTTCAACGACTTCCACATGGATGAGTGTCATCGCTCACTCACCTCGATCTGGAAGTCGGCAGGTTTTCCTCTTGTCTTTTCTCGCTTCCGTCAGAAAACTCTTCCCTTTGAGAACATCCTCAACATGGTTTACGTCCCCCTAAAGTTTGGCAGCTGGTGATTTTGCATTGTCCGCCCTCTTCACCAAGCGTGCGTTGTGTGAGTGGTTTTTAAGCAACGCGCAAGCATCTCTCTCTGCGTTGAGGTCACCAATGACAGGCGTGTTCGAGGCGTTCGTGTTGTTTGTTTTGATGGATGAGGCGTCGTTGCGGTGGCTGCGTGTCATGGTGACTCTGAAGGTGTGGGTGTGCTGCAGCTCCATCTTGTCCTCCTCTGACACTTTGATGAAGGGACACCAGGCGAAGGCATGACGGAAACCAGCACGAAACCTGCAGAAAGGGAAAGAAGTGAAGTTAAGAGGGTTTGTCAAGAGTGTAAAATGATAGAACGGTAATACAAAGGATAGCAAAAGGCAGTGCTTGGCTTTATGAATGTTCACCTTTGGTTCAGACAGCAGTAGATAATAGGATTGTACATGGTGGAGCTCATGGCCAACCAGAATATAGCCAGATACACCTGACAAGGAAACAAACAAACTGATAAGTAAACGCTAAATTACAACATCAAGAATACAAAGCAAGCAGAGAGAGACAGCTGCTAACCTGTTGAATGTAATGTTGCTTATAGATGTCTCGGTTAAATGATCCCAGGATGAAGTAGATGTGGTAGGGCAGCCAGCAGAGGGCAAAGGTCACCACCACCACCACCATCATCTTCACCACCTGCAGGAAAATCACAGGTCATGCACATATGAGGCACTGCTGTGTTTTCAGTTTCAGGTTGTAATAGTAGAAAAAAAAAGCACCTTTCTCTTGGCTGTGATCTGACTGTGGTAATGGTCTGACGCCTCCCCGGGGATGTGTCCGCCCCACAGCGATCGACCGACTAAACTGTAGGTCACCAGCATCACCAGCAGAGGGAGCAAGTAGATCAGCAGTATGACTGCGTACTGATAGCTGCAGGGACGGAAACAGAGAGCTAATAACTCATCTGGTGATAAGATGAGGACAAAAAAATCACAACATACAGACCGAGGACGTGTCATTGTACATTCACATTGTGTACATGTATCAGTTCGCAAAAATGTGATTTCTGGCTTTATTTTTCTATAACATGCGCCTCATTCAACTATAACTGAGTTGCTTCCTTTTAACTACTTTTCATTTGGCAATACTTAAAAGTATGGCACACTTAGCAAGGCTTCTAATATGAATGATTAATAATTAATCAGATATTATGAGGCTGTAATGCCACTTTTCTGGTAAATAATAAGTCTATTTACTGTCATGTGCAGATTTTTGTATGTTATGAAATAAAAGTAATAACTCTTTATTAATGAGGGTTTCAAAAAGGCATCCAAACCCTTCCCTATTAGTCCTGCCTTTTAGTTTGTCCTGTTACTTCACTAACAACCTGCACATAGAAATATAAATGAACATAAATACATATCACTATGAGTAAGTGTGTCCACATAGTGGGTGCACTGAGAACCTCTTGGAAATAAGAGAAAATAAGATAACAAGAAATACAACAGTGTAGTGAGGCTAAAATGAAGCAATAATAAAGACTATGTAGCGCTTTCACAGGTACAGATGAGGCACGATGAATGTCCATGTGGATATCTACAGGTATGTGTACCCAATTAAAGGACACACACAGTGTTCAGATTGCAGTTATACGTGATATTAGTTCTACTCACAAAGTTGTCGAGACAAGTTGTCACTGTCTGCCTCTCTGGTTGTGGTTATTTTGTGTGTTTGTGTGTCTTTCATTCACCTCAGCTGATGTGTTCCTCCGTAATCGTCCGGCCAGTCGACCATGCACACAGTTCTGGGGTAGTAAAACCTCGTCACGCTGTAGTAGCACTGAGGGAAAGCCAGTAAGACGGCCACGATCCATATCAGGGCGATCACAACCTTGGTGGAGGTGGAGGAGAGGCGAGGCTTCAGAGGGTGGATGATGGCCATGTACCTGAGAGAGGAAGAACAGCTTCATTCATTTATACCTACAAGCATGTTTGTTGACAGATACACAGTCAGGAATCTGATGTTTGACTTGTGGAAAACAGACATAAAGAAAGCAGGGTCCTTAAAACTCTGTGCCACGGATAGTTTGAAGTCAAGCTTTCTTTTGATGACAACAATCTACCCACTCATCCATTAAACCATTTACTGTAATCTCCTGACTCAAGCTCATTAAGAACTTCTTGCTGAGTGTTCTTTTTCAGAGCAGCCTTTTAAAAAGTTCTCAAATGCACTGAAATTTACAAGAAATTACAAACAACATCTATTCGTTTGTGGAAAATACAGTAACTGTCACGGTTTAAGGGATGAAAGCATCGTTTGTCTGAGGAAAACAATGCTGTTGTTTTCTTGAATTCTTAAAAGAAATCTCAATTTAAAAATAATTTCTAACGTAGATATCCTGTAATTGTAAGTACTATGGAAATTAAGACTAGCTCAACTTGAAACTGATTAGCACCAAATCGAAAACTGCCTCCATATTGTTGCTCACAGAGAGAGGCTGCACGGTAAAAACTAAACAGCTCAGCCCTGACAATGTAAAATAATGATCACAGCAATATTTTATTCCTTCCTGCATGTCAGCGTGACAGAAACATATAGACATTGAGGAATGTGATTGCAGGCAATTATCTTTAACATCAAACATAAATGATATAGTATTTTATGAAAAGTGATTGTGTGGTGAGGTGAATTTAAACAGATATTTAACACCTGCAGTGAATATAGTAATTCAAATGATTACTTATAAAAGTTAATGTTTTTTGTGCCCCTATGTCGCAGCACTTGTAGAGATAAATCTATTGCAAATAATAGAAATGGTTCCCCCCTGGCCTAACAAGCTACTTTCTTCATTGACTGTAGTGATGTATGTATAAATACCAAGATATGTGGGCGCCGTGGCAATAGAACTCATAAGCCATGTACAGCTTCACTCACTATCGCCGCTATTATAGCCTAATCATCTAACTACAGCTATGAATCATAAATGTGAATTATTCAACACCGACAGTGTGCATGTGTTACAGATGATACAGAGCCGTCTCGGAGTGAAAATGATTTGCATGAAGATGAGTGTTGTTTTTTTTAGAGCGTGCTGCTGCTGTGGTGTCAGGTCTTCTGCTTGCTTTTGCATTAACCTTAACCCTCAGAGTTCTCATTTTCTTTTTCATTTCCAAGGCTGGCACACTTTACTAGGGTTGTTGCTGTAATGTCAAGGCTAAAGAGACTTGTACCCGTTGTGTTATTTTCTAGAGATGATTGTTTGGCCGTTCAAGTGTTTGAAGTGGTTGTTCTGCCCAATGCTTCACCTGATGATGCCAAAGAAAAGTCCTGAATGGAGGCGCACAAACTGGTGATTCAAGAAATGGAAAACTAATGAGGGAGAATTTTCACATTACAAGATTTTACACCTGGTCTGATCTCAGCTTGTGACTCATTAATCACTGCACCTGTCTCAGGCAGCAGAGTCATGTATGTGTCATGTAAGAGAAGAACAAAATGCTCCAGCGATGGTCTGGAACAACCGCACTGCGGCACACAGTCCCTCAAAAAGTATCAGACACTTCAGCCAGACTTTGCAATGTAATTACATCAGAAAGCAAAATGTCAAAGAAATGGCTTTTGTTTTTTTATAAGAGCAGCTCACACAAGTGTGTTTGCCAAGAAAAT